AAAATTCCCAAGGTTGAGAAACACTGCCTTAGAGGTTCATTTGAATTCCATGCTACAAGCATTTCCTCCGCTGATAAAGATACTTTTATTTCTTTATTTATATTTCAAATTTGTCGCCGCTCCTCTCGCTGCAGAGTGACTCTGGGCGGTTTGCGGTAAAAACAGAATAAACATTAATTAAAATAGATAAATATGAATTAATTAAAATATGTTACAATAACAAACTTCCTCTATAACACTTCCAAGCTTTTTTCCCCCTTTTTTCCTTTTTTTCCTGAAGTTTCTGCCAGGGTGATTACGTGAGCTGGATATTTAAGGGCACATTCGGCGGTGGTAATGCAGTGTGAAGGGCTTAAAACTTTTATTCTGGGGCCTCTTCTTATGGGCACTGTTCTTCATTTCCTGTACAAACCACTTTGCAGTTTTAGGTGAGAAAGCAGACTGTGGGGAATAATGTAGATTCAACACGTGACCAAGGCCAATGTCTGCTTCTTCAGGGTGGGCAAACTACATCTCTTGCTACGTAGCTCCTGAATCATTTAATGGCATGTAGAGCCCAACCATTAACTTTTGGCCAAACAGCAGCAACGTGATGTTCCAGCCACTGGTTTTCAGCGGAAAAAAGTAACCACAGAAAATGGATGCACTTCTAAAAATGGATCCAGTAAGCCTTGCATTGGTTTAATTTGCCAAGGAAAGGTTTTGGTCTCTCCAGTGAAAAATGGGAATGTTCCACTGGGAATCTCATTATGTCAATGTTTCTCAACCTTGGAGACTTTAAGATATGTGGACTTCAACTCCCAGAATTGCCATGCTGGCTGGGGAATTCTGGGAGTTGAAGTCCACATATCTTAAAGTTGCCAAGGTTGAGGAACACTGCATTAAGTCATTGCCATTCCCCCCACTGTCCTTAACTGCTCTATCCCCAATAAAATGTCTTCCAAAGTCACGGACATCACTGGAGGTTTCCAAGCCAAGGCTGGACAGCCATTTGTCTGGAATGGTCTGAGGATTTCTGCGCTGGGCAGCAGGCTGGACTAGATGACCTCTAAGTTCCCTTCCAAAACTGATTCTATGAAAATTGAACCCCCCAAATGTACAGTTGCTGGCTATTAAAAAAAAAAAGTGTCCATCTCACCAAACAAGGCCGCTCAACTCCTGGCAAAATCTCTTTCTTGGCCTTCTAGGAGCAAACTTTCCACCAGTCTGGATCTGCAGAGAGAGTACAATTTTGTCTCAAACAGGACACTCAGCTCCTGCAAAGCACACCAGCCGTTCTTCCACAGCACATACGAAGTGGATGGTTACTCTGGGGCTCTGTCCACGCACGTACGTGTCACTCCAAGACTGAACCCACAAACTATCTGCACACAGGAGCTGAATCACAGCAGCGAGTCCTTGCTTGCTCCTGCAGTGACTGGCTGACGATCAAGTGCATGTGAGATCACCCCGTTCGTCTCAGTTGGACCTTTCTTAAGGAGGAACAGATAGTTGAGATGGAATCACCCACAATGCTTTCAAGTCAACTGCTGCGTGCCAGCCAAACACAGTTCATTCTGCCATATGGGAAGCCCTGAGTGGGGATCTGAATCTCGTAACCTGGGTTGAGACACAGCAGGGCTGGAAAAGGGAGACTTCCATGCCTGTCTAGCCCTGCAAGTCTGGCAAACTCCGGAAAGAAGTGCCACCTGGATTTCTGGAAAGATCTTTACCGCTAGTCAGGAATGGAACAGAATCTGGAAAGCCTACCAACGTAATTATTCTGCACAACTTATACCTGGTGTAATTAAGGCAGAGTTACTATGAGTCTCTTTCTCAGGGTTCTCCCCTAGTCAACCTTGGCTGGTCTTAAGGAGGCAAAGCAGGGTCAGACCTATCAGGATGAGAGACCAGGAGATTATGGAGATCTAGACTAGACTAGGGCCTCGAGGAAAATCATCCTGGATGAAGGCAGGGGCAAACCACTTTTGTACCATGACCAAGAAGCAACATGAAAGTGTCCAAGGAGTCACCAGGAATTAAGCTCAATTGGAAGGAAATGTGACTTTTACCCAGATTACAATGTGACTCAGAATGGGGAACATGGCCTCCCCCTTTACATTATGAGGTATTTCGATGGACAGTGCTGTGTTACATTTACAGGTAGTCCCTGTTTAGCAACTCATTTAGCGACCATTCAGTTAAGACGGTGATGAAGAAGTAACTTTACAACCAGTCCTTGCATTATGATCTTCACAGGTCTATAAAGCAAAGGAAGGCTGAAGTCAGATCATAAGCAAAGTCACAGTTTCACTTAGTGACCATGTTACTTAATGACCCAGTTGTCGGTCCCAATTGTGGTCACTAAACGAGGACTCCCTGTACTTTTGCTAGGATGCATCAAATAGGAATTTCAGCTTCCCCATCCATGCTAGTGTGGAGATCTGTGTCCCCTCTTTCACTGTGGTACTGAGATGAAGAAAATATGGCCCCCTCTGCTCTATGATGATAAATCTTGATCAGAAAGGGGTGGGAGAGATTTGGAGCTCAACATCAGAATGATGTCATGTTCTCGAGATAAAAGAAACATTCGAAGGAAAGAACTGCCTCACTTGAACAGACCAATATTTTTATTTCCAAGCCAGGCCTGCCAAACTTAGTTGCTGCAAGCTCTAAGCTAAACTTAAAAGGAATGGCTTGACACCATGACCTCCTGATGTGCAGAACTCTTGCCAATGGTCTTGTTGGTTGGGGATTCAGGGAGCTGGCCCATACATCTGCAGGGCACCAAGCTCAGGAAGCCTGGTTTAGAGCAATTCCTTTGCAAGGAAAGACAATACTTTTGGGATTTTATAGTTTGCCTTAACTGAAATATCACCAAATCCTGGTGCACCCAAAGAATTTTTTTGCCCTCTCTCTTCTCTCTGAAGCACACAAGTTGGGCTCACACAACACATTTTCATTAGGCTGCATTCACACAGCAAGCCAAGTTTGATCTGCTTAAACCTCGGGTTGGTTTGTGGTCATTTAACCTATTGTACAAATCCACTCGGTTCAATTAACTGACAACTCAATGTATTGTGAAAACCCAGGTTTTGCACAATCGCCCAGTGACAGTATGTGCACTGTGTGAGCCCAGCCATGGGGAGGTTTAACAAAACTAGCACAACATCTGTTTCCTACCATGGTGGCCAATAACTTCCAGGAAACTCACAAGAAGGGTATGAAAACAATAATGGTACCCTTGTAGCAATACATACTAGAAAGCATTCTGCTATTCAAATACAGGGAATTCCCAGTTTAAGAACGAGTTCCTTCCCCAAGATCTGTCCTTAAGTTGAATTTGTATGTAAGCCAAAACAGTATTATTGTATAATACTGTATAAGTCAGTGTTTCTCGACCTTGGCAACTTTTAAGATGTGTGGACTTCAACTCCCAGAATTCCCCAG